CATTCTGGCTCGCTTTGTGGCTACTGGCAGACACTGACCTCAGCACTGGTCTGCCGCTAAGAGGGTTTTGCGTTATCTTGCAAGTACATCAGGCATGGGGTTAGTGCCACGAGGACATAGGCCAGTGGTCCTTACTGGACACACAGACGCTTCTTGGGCAGATGACGCCGAGACCCTCAGGTCCTCACAGGGCTACTGCTTCAGCCTTGGTTCAGGTGCCATCTCGTGGAGAGCTACCCGCTCCTCGTCTGTTGCCCTGTCCAGCTGTGAGGCCGAGATCTACGCCGGTGCCATGGCAACTCAGGAGCTCCACTGGCTGACCTTCTTGCTCACTGACTTAGGTGAGCGGCCTAGCTCTGCCCCGGTCCTGTACGCTGACGACAGGGCCATGATCCTCCTGGGTCAGGAGCCTCGACTCGAGGGCAGAGTGAAGCACATCCAGCTGCGGTACTTCCTCCTGCGTTAGCTTCAGCAGCGCCGCCAGGCGCGCGTAGTACACTTGGCCTCTGGTGCCAACACAGCTGATTTCTTTACGAAGGCGCTTACGCGTAAAGATCATCAGCGGCACTGTGTACAGCTAGGTCTCGTTCATGTAGCCTCTCACTTGCTAGGGCCTTGACTTTGTACTGTCCTTTATACATATATTTTACCCTGACTGGTCTTGTGGCCTCTCCCAGTGGCTGGACTAGTAGTGCCGCCCTGGTCTTGCTCTTGCCTTGTCTGTATTCCTTTGACTGGTCTTTAGACCCTTGTCTGAGAGGCTGGACTAGTAGTGCCGCCCTGAGCTGCTTCTTCCCTGGTTAAGCACTGCCCCTATATAGTCTAGGGGGTGTGTCAAACATAACTTATGCAGTTACTGTAGACTATATATGTTTGTGCCTTAGTGGGTACAGCTCACTAGTCTATATTGCCTTGTATCTCCCCATTCTAGTCATTATTCATTCTGTTAAAGTGTTCTCGGAACTAAAAGCTGGGTTGTGAAAAAATAGTTTGTGATAATATCGGCCGATCGTTTCAAGAACAAGTTATTGATATGGCCACTTTGTTAGAATGCTAGCTTAACTAGGAAGCTAGGAAGGCATGAGGTTTAGGATGGAGGAGCCATGGAGTGGTGTGAGGTTTAGGAAGGAGAAAAGTTGAGGAGAGAAAAGGGGGTTGGAATAGAAAAAGAGAGGCATACAAGGAGGGGATTGTACCCGCTACAGTAAAGTTCGGTGACCTACCAAGCCTAACAATTATATAACTCAATATATAATTTTAACACACTTAGTACACTGGACTTTATATTCGGATCCCATTCAATTTCACGATGCTATTATAATTCAAATATGCCTTCTAAAATTTGCCCTTCCATAGCTTCAAAATCACGTTCTGTGCATCTTTCAAATTTACAAGCATCCTGTTAATTAAAATATGCCTTCCATTTATTTATGCATGGGATTTCAGATAAATCGCATGTGTTAAAACAATACCAAACACAGCACTCTCTAGAATAAACATGATCCACAATCATTCTAGCCAGACTTTTATGAACGACCACTTGCAGCAAGCTAATTCCTGTAACCTAGTAAATCTGCTTTAGATACAGCTATGCTGGAAAACGCTGAGTCAGGGCCCCTTGACATCCAACATAAAACCTGCAAGCAGCAAGCGTAAATACGTTGAGAGTACGGCCACATCGAGGCATATTTACGGGGAAAGCAAACAAACAACTTACTTTGGAGACGGGTGACGACGCAGACCAGAACAGATGCATGCGATGAGGATTCGGCGCTCATGTGTAGTGTGTCATCACTGCAAGCGGAAAACAGAGAACCTGCGAGGCATGAAAAAAAGGGGGGGGGGAGGGGGAAGAGGGGGGGAGGGGAAGAAAACGGCTGCCACTGAAAGCTGAACAAACGCCTCGATGAGCTGACATGAAATATAATTGTGAAGGAAAAGAGAAAGCGGGGACGGCGTGAAAGCAAGTAGTGCGCGGAAATGAGAAGGATGGGGAAGCGAGAAACACAGGAACCTACAAATTGTGCGCCCTTCAACGTTTGTATGTCTTCCAAGACGCACGAAACTGCACGGAAAAATAAAATAAATTGAAGTCAAATAAAAAAGATCACCACTGCAGCTGGAAACTCAAGAGGTTCTCGCGATTGTTAGGCATCGGCGATGGGAAACGGCGGCGCGGCCATGAATTTCGGATTGTTCAAAACTACTGGAGGAAGAAGTGTGTATCGAGGGGCAACTTAGGGCACAAGAACTGAACTACGAAGGCTGGAGCAGGAACATCAGAAGAAGGAAAAGAAACGAGCAGTCAGAAGAAACAGACGCTGTAAATATTGCTCTGCTTGCTCGTGGTGGGGTGGTTGGATTGGAAGGATGAACGGTCAAGATGACGCCTGTGTTTCGCGGGGGATCTAGGGTCAAGAAACTCCCCACGCAGCACACAAAAAGCTGTAGGGGCGAGCAGCTTGATGGGCGATTTGGACCGAAGGGTAGTTCTGAATGGCGCTGAACGCGGTGAGCCATAGATAGGAGAACCCACGACCTGTTGGGATTTGGTCTGGAAACATATACCCCAATCAGTGGATTGGTAAGAAATTGATGTCTCCTTAAACAACCTATGGACTGCTTGCGAAATATATCTTTAAATATTAAGGCAGTGGATTTCCACACACACTGCTTGTGGCGCAATAGCAACTGGTACAAACATAATAAAGATGTTCTGAGAAAGCGTTCCAGCAAATAAAAATTGTGGCATCCATATCAAGCATTGCACAATACAAACACATTGCATAATACCAGATCTCTAACTGGTTCGTTAGGGTGGATGGGAGAGGAGCGAATGGGGGAGAGTGGATGGGGGAGGGTGAATGGTGGAAAGTGAATGGGGGAGAGTGAATGGGGGAGAGTGAATGGGGGAGAGTGGATGGGAGAGGAGTGGATGGGGGAGAGTGGATGGGGGGGAGAGTGGATAGGGGAGAGTGGATGGGGGAGAATGGATGGGGGAAGAGTGCATGGGAGAGGAGTGCATGGGAGTGAATGGGGGAGAGTGGATGGGGGAGAGTGGATGGGGGAGAGTGGATGGGGGAGAGTGAATGGGGGAGAGTGAATGGGGGAGAGTGGATGGGGGAGAATGGATGGGGGAAGAGTGCATGGGAGAGGAGTGCATGGGAGTGAATGGGGGAGAGTGGATGGGGGAGAGTGGATGGGGGGGATTGAATGGGGGAGAGTGGATGGGAGAGGAGTGGATGGGGGAGAGTGGATGGGGGGGAGAGTGGATAGGGGAGAGTGGATGGGGGAGAGTGAATGGGGGAGAGTGGATGGGGGAGAATGGATGGGGGAAGAGTGCATGGGAGAGGAGTGCATGGGAGTGAATGGGGGAGAGTGGATGGGGGAGAATGGATGGGGGAAGAGTGCATGGGAGAGGAGTGCATGGGAGTGAATGGGGGAGAGTGGATGGGGGAGAGTGGATGGGGGAGAGTGGCTGGGGGAGAGTGGCTGGGGGAGAGTGGATGGGGGAGAGTGGATGGGGGAGAGTGGATGGGGGAGAGTGAATGGGGGAGAGTGGATGGGGGAGAATGAATGGGGGAGAGTGGATGGGGGGGATTGAATGGAGGAGAGTGAATGGGGGAGAGTGGAAGGGGGAGAATGAATGGGGGAGAGTGAATGGGGGACCAGCACGAACAGCAGTACAAACCGGCAGCATGAAAGCAAGGGAGAGGATGACAGGGGGGAAGCACGACTGGAGATAGACAGAAAAGATATGCATACGAGCAGAATAGTGGAAATGCCATTCGACATCAGTGCAAACCGGCAGCACAGGTGCACAAGCGGTTGCTAGTAACAAGTTACAAAAACGGGTATTTTGAGTGCAGTTTCCCTTTGTCCATGTGCTCGGATTCATGAGAATTCAGTGCGGGGTAACATGTAGAGGTGGTGAGGATCACCTGAGAGTGTGAGATGCAGGTTGGGCAGCGCTGACGCGAAAAGCTCCTCAGACATCCTTGCATCACTGTAATTCCCACTCCCAACCACTCACCCATCTTTCCTTCTCTCCAACCATTCTCCCTGCCATAACTCTGCCCACCGCTAGTATAGAACCCCCCGCCTTCAAACCCCCTATTCCGCAAACTGATGCCTCAACTCATTGCCCTGCCTTGCATTGCATCTATTCTGCCCGTATCCTCCTCCCTTTCTCGGGCTCATGCTGGTTCTGCAGCAGCCATCCACTCTCAACTTTCCCCTCTCAATTTGCCCCCTCTGAATTCGCCCCCTCTAGATTTGACTCCTCTCAATTTGCCGCCCCCCAGATCTCCCCTCTCCATTCTCCTCCGTACAGCCTTCCTCACACCCTTACCCACACCCATCCTACCTGTCACCTATTCCCTCGTCATTCCCCTCCTCCCTCCCCTCCTCGCACACTTGCGCACTCCCGTCCTCACTCCCCTCTTCACTCCCGTCCTCACTCCCCTCTTTACTCCCGTCCTCACTCCCCTCTTTACTCCCGTCCTCACTCCCCTCTTCACTCCCGTCCTCACTTCCCTCTTCACTCCCATCCTCACTCCCCTCTTTACTCCCGTCCTCACTCCCCTCTTTATTCCCGTCCTCACTCCCCTCTTCACTCCCATCCTCACTCCCCTCTTTACTCCCGTCCTCACTCCCCTCTTCACTCCCGTCCTCACTCCCGTCTCCTCCCGTCTTCACTCCCGTCCTCTCCACTCCTCACCTCTTCGATCCTCCCCTCTCTGCACCTCTCCTCTCTGCTCCTCCCCTCTTCGCTCCTCCCCTCTCCGCTCCTCCCCTCTCAGCTCCTCTCCTCCTCGCTCCTCTCCTCTTCGCTCCTCTCCTCTTCGCTCCTCCCCTCTTCGCTCCTCCCCTCTTCGCTCCTCTCCTCTTCGCTCCTCTCCTCTTCTCTCCTCTCCTCTTCGCTCCTCCCCTCTTTGCTCCTCCCCTCTTCGCTCCTCCCCTCTCCGCTCCTCCCCTCTTCACTCCTCCCCTCTTCACTCCTCCCCTCTCCACTCCTCACCTCTTCGCTCCTCCCCTCTCCGCTCCTCTCCTCTCCGCTCCTCTCCTCTCCGCTCCTCTCCTCTTCGCTCCTCCCCTCTTCGCTTCTCCCCTCTTCGCTCCTCCCCTCTCCGCTCCTCTCCTCTTCTCTCCTCTCCTCTTCGCTCCTCCCCTCTTCGCTCCTCCCCTCTTTGCTCCTCTCCTCTTCGCTCCTCCCCTCTCCGCTTCTCTCCTCCTCGCTCAATTTCAGAAGGAATGCTTCGCTACCTCTGAAACCTCAGAAGAACCATAGTACATGTTCTGAAAATTCAGAAATGTAAAAAAACAATTTCTAACCCTTCAGAGTCTTGAAAATGGAGTTTCTAAAAAATCAGAATAAAGCAAAAAATCGTGTCTGAAAATAAGACAAACAGACGGGTTTTGTCTGCTAAGGAGGACCTCGTTTCCCACCCACCCCCCCCCCCTCCCCCCCCCTTAGACAACCGTGCATCTCCAATTGCCAGCCGGTCACTTGAACAGGAGCGCACATCTAGGATCATGATGTGTGTAGGTTTAGATTCGTATAAGCTAGTAAGAGACTATTCTACCTAGCCCACTTGAAAATGAGTACGATGCCTATTGCAAAAGACAAGAAAGCAAGCTTTCTCAATTTATCATTTACTTTTTTGGGGTTGCGGAGCAACCTATTGCGATCGATCTGACGAGATTTTTTTTCGAATATATTTTATAAAATGGTCAAAAATTTATTTTAAAATTATCATTTTTTTATTGTGAATTATAACATGGAGATTAGTGGCCAATATACTAGCGATCATTTATTTAAACTACATAGGTTCAGTAGCTTTACTTTGCTAAGAGTTGAATGAAAGTGTTATATCAGAACTACGTATAATATTATACTTCAAAATAGACAATGATTGAAAACAACAAATGTGCTCATGTTTTCCATTATTATCCGTTTCGTGTTTTGAGAAAAAAAAAGGAAAATATAAAACTCTCTCTTTGACCAAACTATATAAAGGGGATTTCTATAAATCTGTAATATAGTGTAATATATTAATTACACTATATTACTGGTTTTTTTATGGAAAACAAAAAATGTATTTTTTTTCCACAATTGCCCGTTGTGTTTTTTTTCCCTTATTTTTGGGGCATTTCTCGTGGCATATTTTTGTCAAAAACAAAAATAAGCGATCGCTTCCCCAGCTAAGTGGGGGAAATCGAAAGCCTATTGTGCAACAAAGACATATTTGTGACTTCCAAATAATGATTTAGGCTTATCACTTCCAGGTCAAGTGACCGCACTCGAGGAGAGCGTCAAAGAACCTTGCTTGAAATGAAAAGCTCAAACCAATATTGGAGAGTCACAAAACATGTATTACTAAAGTAATAAAATAGACAAGCATATGGCCGCACTCAGAGAGCGTAGTCATTAATGCATAATATGAGTAGTTGGCAAATAGTATGCTAAGGCACGTAAGTCGGTAAAACAAGATCGGCACAACAGAAGAAAAACAAAAATCAGAAAACGGAGAGGGGAAAAAAAAGGTATTCAGCGTAAGAAAGTTGTCAAGTTAAAACATGAAGAGATAATTACCTGTTCGTATCGACAAACAAATCTCATTAAAGTTACCTTAATCGAATGTCTTGCGTTTAGCGGGTGTAAAGGGTGTAGGCGCAGCAGATGACTGCGCAGTGGATGATGACGGTGCCACTATAGGAGGTTCTGAAATGTTGAGTATTGTCTTCATGACACGGTCCTCTTTGAGCCGAAAATGTATCTGCAAATGAAAATCGCACAATATACAAAATTCATAGATTTACCACTCCCATTATTTTTAACAAATGTATGAATCTATTGTACCTTAGCTCGCTGTTGCTTCTTGAGTGCATCAAGAACTTTTTGACGTGCCGAATCTGTTGAACGGAGGAAATCTGATGTCTGGAAGTCTCGGATCACACTTCGCAGCAACTCGAGACTTGTGAAGATAATTGTCTGCAAGTGAAATTATTTCATAAAAAGAAATTTACACATGGTTGAATAGGTGTGAGAGAGGGCAGGAAATGTGCATGAAATGCAAAAATGGTGAAAAAAAAAGCTAATGAGCATCATTCATGGAGTTCGATTGTCTTGGTCTACCACGTTTCATGTTACCACGTCAACCCATCAATGTTTCACTCATTCAATTATGCAAATACTGCTTACGTACCTTTCTCTTGCACGACAAGCATACAAGAGAAGTGGTCGACTTCCATTGAAGATGCAGCATTGTGCTTGGCACACTCATGACGCTTAGTTGAGAAAGAGTAGACCAATGGTTCACCACACACTTCGTCGTTGACAACTTAATTGCATATCTTCCGCGTCCGGAAGCATGGCTCTTCTAGCTGGACGTCGAATGTAGCGATGAACTCCTGCCCCGTCATAGTAACCACCTTCTCCACATTTATCATCCTGAAGATTTAAGATTAGGAACATGAGAATTAAGGTGACACGAGGATAATAAATAACAATATTTATCTGCATACTATACAAATTTTACAAAGCTTATGCGACACTTCGAACTTACTGTTGGAGAAGTCCCAATTCCAGAGTCTCTTGTGGCGGAGGCACATCAGGAATGGAATCTGCACGCGCTGCTTCTAGTACACGAACTTCTCTTTTGGCCGTTGTCATAAACATTGTAGACTTGACGTACACATCATTCAGTAGGACAGGAACGAACACACTGTCAGCGTTTTTGGCATGATACTCCTCACCACATGTCACAATGGTCGACGCTATCTGACCGATTGCAAGGAGTACACTCTTCATCGATGAGTCCTGGATTGTTGTCACCAGCTTGGGCACTTTGCTCTTGGGATCCAGAGATGTAATGCCGAGCTTCACTGCGATGCACGGAATCTGATTTGCTCAGGAAAATGACGGATTGGGATACGAAAATGGGAAAGGTTGTGACTCAAAGGAAATAAAGAAATGCGTAAAGCCTCCATGGAAGGAAAGAGACATAGAATATTGGATTTACAAGTGCATACAGAAACATAGCACAAGGAGATGTGTAAAGAAAATGAGGCAAGATTGAAAGGATCTTCCATCTGTGACAAAAATCGAATGAGATAAACGTTAGGATACATACGGGTGCATGGTTGTTTTCGTTGTAAAAATCCTTCAGGCTTGATGTGGAGATGTTGGTTATGGAGTCGTTCGTAGGACTGGTGGTTTCCACCATGCACGTGCATCGATGGATCCAGTTGAAATGTATCTTCAGCCCACCAATCCGTGACCTGGGTGTCGGGGAAGGAGCAAACAAGACGACAAAAGAAACACGCCAATTAAGAAGTGGATAAATATGCAACCTTGCATGCACTAACATCGACAGTAGTTTAACCGCTTACCAGTTTTCTTTGCCAATGGTTGCATTGATGTGGTACATGTTGTAGACCTTTCCAACATCGAGCTTCGCAATTACTTCCCTAACAACTTCGACACCATGCTTACCTGGACCCTGTTCGACATCAGGCCACAAGAGAACCTCAGCAATACTAGAATGTGCATCACTAATTAGTATCTTGCCAGGCAAGGGTCGCCCCGTTGCCCTTGCCACGGGGTTCCTAAGGCCGACAACCAACACACTAATGTAGAAATCGGAAATCTTATCTTCAGCCACAATCCGACTTTCGATTTGCTTGATACTGGCCAACCCTGGGGTCTGATGAGAAATTTTGAGGAAAAAATAATACAAACTTGATTGACGCTGTCAATGCCGAGCGTGATATAAGTAGATAATAATAAAGATGATATAAATATGAGACCGAAAAAAATGGTTTTTTGATAACAATGCAATACAAAGGAAGAAAAACCACGAAGCAATGACCGTTGTTCAATTTTATTGAATGTACCCGATGTGAGTTATGCGGATGAGGCAACGGATCTGTAAGGAAAATTCAATGGATCAAGAAGGGAGGAAGGTGTGGGTGTAAAACCCTTGGATTGGAGATTGGGACTCATCGTTCAATAACTACATGAATTGGAAAATGGTCAGAAAAATAGGTTTCTCCAATAAAACCTTTCGTTCTTGTTTTGTAGCAATTAGACCAAACATGATCAATGAGTGTGTTGTTAACAGTAGAGTGCTCAAGAACATATTGGTTAAAACCTTGAAGCAAGAATATATTAAGATACCTTTGATGAGGAATAGAACTCAAATTTATATTGAAGTCACCGATGAAAATCATTTTTTTGTCACGGTTTTGAATGATGCTTGAGCGAATCAAGTCGAAGAGCACCTCATGATTTGAAATATTAGGATTTCTATAACAGCAATGAATTTCAAACGAATCAAATAAAGTGACCAATCGAAAAGATAGAAACTCAATTTTTGTCTGGCTTTTATAACAATATTCTCTACCCGTCCTCGATGGTATACAACAATACCACATGTTTCACTGTCTTGCCTCAATACTTTGAAACCGTATTGCATGCATGATGGTAGTACATCGCTTGATGTTAAATGACTTCAAAAAAAAAAAACAAGGAAGTCATTGGAGTCAAAAGAGTCGAACGCGATGTCTTCAAAATGTGCGCGTAGGCTTCTTACATTCTGGAAAGTAAATTTAAGAATAGAATTTATAGATTGGATCAAACCGATAGGTTTCGGGTTAAGAACCAATGGGATTTTTCGCAAAACGTTCCATCTCTTCAATTATGCGATTGTCTGTTTTGATACACTCTACGGAAAAGTTTTGATGAAAACTAATTGCATTACTTGGTCTTAATGGAAACTGCATTCTTGAAATGGTGTCATATCTTGCATTGACCGAAAAGGTTTTCTCTATTCTAAGTATAGGAGTCCATTGCTGCTTCACATTGATGAAATTTGTAAACAAATGTCCCATTTTTGCTCATAGCTTGCAACCTATGGTTTGATCTTGAAATTCAACCCATATAATTTCTACTACGCCGTTATTCGCTAGTGTAAAATGCACAACTATACCCGAAGTTCCATTTGTTAGCCCATCGGACGTATCTAGATTTAATACAACGTGTACTTGCGAACCAACAAATAACTCAAGGGTTGCAAACAACCCATGAGAAGCAGTACTTCGAAAATCAGGGCCTGTAATAGGGTTGCTCTTTCTGGAGTGGTCCTTACCGAATAAAGCACAATCCATCGCTGGAATCGAATACTTTTCTTCGACGGATTTCGCAAAAAAATCATGGTTGAAGTTGTCAATTGCAGCATTTGTGCAAAACAAATGCTGGGCTTGA